ATATTGAAAGTATTGTAAATCCTTTTTCTGGTAATGCATATGAAAATGTTGATAAATGGATTGATGAATTTGAAGACGTTATAAATTCTTTAAAATTGAGTGATTTGCATAAATTAGTTTTTGCTAAAAGATCATTAAAAGGTAAAGCGAAACTATTTATTCAGAGTGAACCGAAAGTTAATGACTGGTGTAAGTTAAAAAAAGCTTTTGAAATCTGAATATGGTAAAGCTTTTAATTCTGCTGAGTTGCATGAAATGTTATGTGAACGTAAATTAATGCCTAATGAATCTTTAGATGAGTATTTTTTGAAAATGAAAGAAATGTGTTCGCGAGGTAACATTGAAGATGCTTCATTAATTAAATATGTTATTGATGGTATTTTATTCCCGATTCGGTAGTGAGGAAAACTATACTATATGGTTGCGAAACAATAACTGAATTTAAACAAAAACAAGGCTTAAAATTTATGATAAAATGAGATCGGACAATGATAAGTTTAAAAATCCGAAACCGAAAGAAAGTAGACACTCAAGTTAAAGATAGAAGTAAGCTTTCGTCATCAAACCGAAATCAATCTAACGTTACTTAATAAGGTCAAATGTTTTAATTGCCAGGAATTTGGGCATTATTCTAAGCATTGTGTAAACAAATCAAAGGGTGTAAAATGTATAAAATGTAAGAAGTTCGGGCATTATTCAACAAACTGTCCAGAGCAGAGACCCCCGAGAAACAAGCAGCTTTAATTCAACGAATTCCGACAAGCATAGAATTATGAGACTGTAGAATTTCCGACAATAGCTTATGAAGACTGTAGAAATAATAATCATTAGTTGATAGTTTAGTTGACACTGGTTCAGATGTAACGATATGCAGCGTAGAGTTACATAAGCAGATTGGTTCTCCTAATTTAAATTGTAGCGATATCACATTAAACGGAATTAAACGGAATTGAATCAAAGCAAACGTACCCCATCGGCTTTTTCATTTCTGATATTTCAATTGATAGTTTTTCACTGCGTACTAAAATTTATGTTGTTAAGTCGTTATGTAATCAAATTGTATTAGGTTTAGATGTATTGAATCAGTTTAATTTCTCTTTTACCGAGAATGGCCTTCAAATAATTTTTCATCGGAATAAAAGTAATGTAAACTTGATAACTGCTGAGTCATCTCGAAATTCTAACGTTCTTTGCGTTATGGGAAATTTGAATATTGCTGTCTCATTGAAGAATGCTTATGACCCTTCGCGATCGTCTGACGTCTCTGTTAATGTAAACAAAAGTCCTGAAAGCGGAAGTAGCGCGACGTTTAATTACCTTTCACATCTGGTGAATGCTATTTCTGTCAACGAGATTGATTTATCGCATATTTCGAATGTAGAACATAAAGAAAGACTATGTAATTTAATTAATTCGTACCAGCCTCGGAAAAATAGACAATCTGACTTCAAGATGCAAATAAATTTATGCGATGATATTCCTGTCTGTCAAAATAGAAGATACATGTCTTTTGCGGAACAAAAAGTTGTTGACGATCAAATTAAGGAATGGTTAAAAGAGGGCATAATAAAGCCTAGCAATTCTAATTATTCGGCGCCTATTGTTTTGTGTAACGAGCGTGATAATTCGGAACGTTTATGCGTAGACTATCGGAAATTAAATAAGAAGATTATTAAAGACAAATTTCCACTGCCTTTAATTTCGGAAGTACTTGATCGTTTAGAGCAGTCAAAAGTCTTCACGAAACTAGATTTGAAAAATGGCTTTTTCCATGTAGACATAGACGAATATTGCACCAAATATACCGCTTTTGTAACACATAATGGTATCTACGAATTTCTTAAAGCTCCTTTTGGTTTATGTATTAGTCCAAATGTTTTTCAAAGATATATTTATTCAGTATTTCGTGACTTGCTAAATGAAGGTGTACTAATTATTTATATGGATGATATAGTTATACCGGCTAATGATGAAGTTGAATGTTTAGACAAATTAGAAAGAGTACTCAAAACTGCTTCGGAAATATGGATTACAAATAAATTTCAAAAAGTGCCAATTCTTAAAACGTAAAAATTGAATTTTTGGGACATGTAATTGAAAACGGAACTATTCGACGACCGTCATCTTCCAAAACTGTTGCTGTTCGAAAACTTTCCACAACCGCGTAACTGTAAACTACTACAAAACTTTTTAGGACTAACAGGGATATTTTCGTAAATTCATTCCTCATTATGCTAAAATAGCTAAACCTCTTAGTGAGACTTAGTACTTAGAAAAGGTTATTGGTTTTAAGTTCGATTCCGAAACAACAGGAAGCCTTTTGCAGATTGAAAAGAAATTCTCTCTCAAGCACCCTGTTCTAACACATATTTAGGCAAGGATATCCATTAGAACTTCATACTGATGCTAGTATTCAAGGCTTTGGTGCGGTACTACTCCAATTGTCTGATGAATGGTACTTATCACCCAATCCAGTTGTAGAGACATAGGTTAATTGAAAAGCCAGAGAAATAAAAATTAGAAGCTTTCGCCGGGAATCGAACAACGGACCTCAGAAATCCGACCGTGTACTGACCACTAACCACGAAGGCAACTAGAAAGGCGGGAAAATACTTGAGCAGTGTATGAGAAAGAAGACTTCACGAGCAAGAGAAACTTGTAGAAATTAGAAGCCCTTTTGCAGTAATAGAAGCTCTGAAGAAATTTCGAAACTATTTGTTAGGGACTAAATTCAAAATTGTAACTGATTGTAGTGCGTTTCAGAAAACTTTAGATAAGAAAGATTTAACTCCTAAAATTGCGAGATGGGCAATGTTTATTGAAGAATTCGATTACGAAATTGTACATCGTTCAGGAAGCCAAATGAAACATGCTGATGCTTTAAGTAGAAATGCTCTAATTTTAACATCATACACATCCGATGTAACTGAGAAGATTCGGTTAGCACAACAACAGAATGAAGATGAACATGTGAAATTGATAAAGAATTTAGTTGAGAAAGGAGAAGAAAATGGATTCTTCGTGAGAAATGATATTTTGTACAAATTTGAAAATGGTAAAGATCTTCTAGTAGTGCCAGAATCCTTACAGAACGAAATCATACAGAAGGTACATAAAAAAGGTCACTTTGCTGTAGATAAAACTGTGAATGCCGTAGAGCAAGAATTCTATATTCCCAGACTGAAATGCAAAGTTGAAAAAGTAATTGCTAACTGTATAGAATGTATACTGTACAACAAGAAGCAAGGAAAAGCAGAAGGATGTCTTCATCCTGTACCAAAAGAAAACGTTCCCTTGAGTACGTATCATATCGACTTTATTGGACCTCTTCCATCAACGACAAGAGATACCAACACATTCTAACTGTTGTCGACGCTTTTACGAAATTTACTTGGTTCTATCCAGTGAAATCACCAACTACGCAAGAAGTTATTTCAAAATTGAAGCAACAACAGACTGTATTTGGAAAATCCAGCCAGAATCATTTCAGATCGAGGTAGTGCCTTTACTTCGAAAGAATTTTCAGCTTATTGTACTGAAGAAGGAATAGAACATGTCAAAATTACTACCGGTATTCCAAGAGGTAACGGACAAATTGAGCGAATTCATAGAATTTTGATTCCGGTTTTGTCAAAATTATTACATGAAGATTCAACGAAATGGTTTAAGTATGTTCCAGATGTTCAGAGAATAATCAACAGTACGACTACGAGAAGTACGAAATATTCACCGTTTGAGCTTCTCATAGGCACGAAAATGAAGAATAAAGAAGATTTGAGAATTAGTGAAATATTGAATGAAGAATATTTGAAGCAATTGATGCAAGAACGTGATGAAATGAGAGAAGATGCGAAAAACAACATTTTGAGGATTCAAGAAGAGAATCGTAAACAATTTAACAAGAAACGTAAGAAACCGAAACTATACAAGATTGGCGACTTGGTAGCCATTCAGAGAACTCAATATGGACTGGTTTGAAACTACGACCAAAATTTCATGGACCGTATAAAATCATAGCTGTAAGATTAAATGACAGATATGAAGTCGAGAAAGTAGGATACCATGAAGGACCAAATTTGACATCTACTGCGGCTGACCATATGAAGCCATGGTCAAATTGATTTAATGCTTGTATCAGCTCAAAGCCTAAGGACCTGATACTCTTTTTTCTTTCTTTTTTGTTTTTTTATTATCTTTGCAGGTACATGATGGTGATGTCCATTCAACAGACATCGAGGACGATGCCTCTTCAGGCTGGCCGAAGCTGTGGGAGTCATCAACGTCCAATGCTGAATTAGAATACCAGGATTATGACGTCATCAGTATAGCATCACCCAGCGTAGTAAGAATAATCCCAGACAGCGCTGAGACCTGGTCGAGAGAGGAGGGCAGACGTGAGCAGACGGCTCACACGTCTTCAAGAGTTTATGAACTTAGATTGTGCTTTTGATGTTATGCCTTTAGGTGTAAAAGGACTGTTGGTGCATCATTATGTTAATCCTGCATACCGTTAACTTCATCTTTATATACTTTTCTTAATTACTTTTATTTCTTTCTATTAAATAAACCATTTAAATATTACTTCGTGCTCTCATACTGTGAATTAAATCAAATTCTACAATACTGATACACTTTGGATCTGGCTTGAACACGTGCTTCTACGGAAGTGACTGAACATCCCATTAAACACCGGTTCTGCCTCATTTACACAAAATACGATACTGAAAACACATTCTGGCAGGTAGTTGCATATGAGAACCAAGAGAATAAAGGAAAGAGTTTCAAAACTAAGAATAACAATTATAAGATTAATATAATCCTTACAAGTTAAATATAATTTTTAGAAAATCTTAGGTAATTGTGAATCAATCACCATTTTTTGTTGCGCTTAAACATAAACGTTTTCTATCATACGCAATACTTCATCTCGTTCTGTCTTACACTGAGATTTTAAACTACGGGTTTATGGGTTTTTATAAATATTCAAATATTTTTCTTACCAGATAAGCTGCTTTCAAAGCAATGCCGTCAGCTATATTTTCATCTTGCGTGTTCATGCCTTTTACCTACAAATAACACAATTTTATCATAATATATGTAATGGTTTGAGCATGTGTAAATAAAGACGTAATAGCAATAAGTGTTGAAGGAAGGTCACTGCATGTATTCCTGTTCACTCTCATCTAACGTATAAATTCATATGGGTAAGGACATGTCACACGTTTTATTTACGTGTTTCGCAACGCATAAACCGATGCCTTAGAGTTCATAAATATTGTTGGGCGCACTTGTGAACTAGTTTTTCAAATTGACATTAGCTTTAACTATCAGCTATAGTTCGAAAATCATAGCTTTGCTTCAAAATTTCTGAGCTGCAGATGTAGCTATGCATATATGACATTAGAAGCAGTCTATTCTGTACTGTGGCAATGCATTGTTTTCCACGATAAACACCGCCAACAGGCCGGTCAAAGTTCCTGGACTGAATTACCCATTAGGCTAATTTGTAAGGTTTCACATAAGTTGTGATTTCATATGTTGACAGACTTCGATGATGATTTCACCCTTTTCTCTATCATGCGAGTGACTTGACCTCAGTAGTAAGCCTGGCGATTTGTCGCACAGGCGTGAAGAGTAACAACAGAGGGAAAGGAGTTAACTGCCCTTTTATTTCTCAATCCTTCTTAAATTTGGTAAAGAGTATCTATTAATTTCTTTTACTTTACTCCACATTGGAATTTTTACATATGGATTTGTTTTTGTATATTCCTATAATGGACCGCCCTGAGTCGAGTAGGTATTCAAAACTTTCGGGTAAACTATTATAATTAAATAATTTAGGATGGTTCATCAGCTGATGTCGGATGAACAGTAACGCAGTGGTTTTCCACTGGGAACATGGTTTAATTGAGTTTGATCTAACATTGCATCAAATTTATATGAATTTTTCTTCCCATGTCTTTTTTTTTTTTTTTTTTTTTTTTTTTTTTTTTTAAGATTGATTTTAATTATTATAGCCTTTGGTTGATTTATTTAAATATTTTGGGGAATTTTAAAATTTACTGGTTTGAATTTAATTTCGTTTTTGGATCTTTGTGTATTTGATTCCGAATTTCTTACTTTTTGTCTATAACTGTTTAATTTTCAGCAGCATATTGCGCGGAAATAAGATCGAAATAATTTTCTTTAAAATTTAAGAAATATGATACTGTTTATATATTTTTCAAGCAGTCTCATTCGGATAAGCTATATGTGACACATATAAATATGAGATTGCCTCAAATATATCTTACCTGCATTCCATTTTCGGCAGTATAGTTATCATATTGCTCTATAAAACACTCCGCTCTCGAGTTGAAAGCCTGTTCCTCCGTTGTGGACCACCAGTTTCTGCTATTGCCATCTTTATCAAATATTCGACCTATGGTTTTATAATCAGCATATTCAGTATTTCGGAGGAAAAGCAAAACTCTTTTCAATCGGTAAGTGATCTTAAGCATGTCATTCGTATCACAAATCCTATATATAATTCTTAAATCAGGCAATATTCTGTGAAAACTGTATTTAATCTAAAATTTACGTCGATTTTAAAAGTGTGGAAAAAGCAAAAGTAAAAACGCATCTGTGCAATTGGATGAAGCAAACGCACAAAATATATCTTCTTTTAAGCCCAAAATGTCATTCAAGTGAGCAGCTATTTTTTTTTTTAAATATTTTTAAGTGATTTGGTTCAAAATACGTTTGTCGATGTAATATTTAATTCCTCAGAAAAGTGTATTATTATTATTTAGGAACTCTAAAGCTGGAAATAATTTTTAAACCACTACACTCTTCTAAATTCAGAGTACTGAAGCATGTGTTTCTAGACTATTTTCAAGATTAAAATTTATAAAACCTGAATCACCTTTATTGTCTTGATGCGCATTTGAAAATACTTGCTATCAAATTTTAAACAAATCTTGCTGGCAATCAAACATAGAAATTGCTGAATCATAATATTATTTTCAGTGGCCGAGTGAGTGTTTGTTTTGCATGAAGACTTTTGTTCAGAATATATTTATGACAAAAGTAAGCTAGTGTTACGAATTTTGTATTTAGATAGGTAATTTTAGTAGAATTATGATTAAAATTGTTGTATTTTTCTGTGTAATGGAGCGCGAGACGAATCATATCGTAAAGAGAACGCTATGCCGGAAAAGTAAGAGTGCAGGGGCAAGTGCATTTAACATTGAGTAAATGGGTATCTTTGATTTATTAGTGAGACATCGCCAAGCTGACAACGGTTTTGTCGCTAAAATTGGCGAGAAATCACAAAAACTCTCCACATTTGGAGACCATTTGGCAACATTTGGGTTCCGTCCCTGTATCACCTTAGTAAGCATTGAAATTGAATAAATGTAATTGACCACTATGTTAGCTGTAACCGTAATTTTACATTCTTATTGCTTTCTAGTAACTTCGAGAAGCAGAAAATACTAGAAAAAACTCGACCGTTGAAAACTATAACTGCCAGGGAAAGAGCATCTGAATTTAGTTGCTCAGTTATTGTTGTTGCGAGTTGTAGTTCTGCGTGAACTGAGATAAATCGGAGTTAGCTTCCTCTTTAGATGCGCTTTGCATTGGTTCTGTTTAACGTTCTTAATATTTTGGAGTGTAACTATTAATTATACTGTGTGATACTGTAAACACTTCTATGAATATTTCTGTGGAAAATTCCACAGTTCTGAAATATTTTTTTAATAAAAATAAATTATATTAATCTGTTACCAGATTTGTGCATTCAATCTATTACTATGAACTCGTACGTACGCAATACTAGATGAAGTAAAATTAGTCTCCAGTGTTCATATTCTACTGGTCATCGAGAAAAGTTAGTGGAATTGAAAATTGGACTTTGGTTAGGGATTCCTTTTATTAGAAATAAATAAGTGTATTTCCATTCGTCAAAATTGCACAGCTTACGAAATGGAGAAGTCATATGTTTATTCAAATCGTGGAAAATATAGCAAACAAAATTATTCATTTTGGTAGGCCTTGAAAAACTTGATGTTTTAAGTATTTCAATGGATACTAATTACTTATTCAATTTTTATTTATCATTATTTATTTTTCGTGTGACTTAAGCCGATAATAGTCAAGCTTTTACAATAAATTTGAAATACGTTGTTGGCAACGAAAACGTGAGTAATTATTTATGATGCACGAATTTTTATAGAGATCAAATTTAAAACTTTCAAACTTTTTTGTCCATTTTTAAATAATAGACAAAAAGGAGGGTACTGTACAGAAAAGGGTGCAGGATACCACTGATTATTTGCATTAATTAACACAGTGTCCCAATTCTGCATGTTTTTGTCATGACTCGCTTTTTATAAGCGTGACGATTTATGTCAGTCAAAGAGTTCTTTGCGATTATTTTAATAGAATTCCAAGTTTAAACACAAATTCCCATCAATGGAAGAAGCGGTGTGGAAGAAGAAGCAGTACAATCATTTATAAATAACAATGCAAGAAACTTGCGAGATGCCGAATAAATTATTTAAGTCAACTTCATTATCTTTTTGGATCTTTAATAGAGTTTTAGACAATGGCAAATTTTGTTTCTCTCTAGAACTCTGTTTTTAAACGACGCACTTTATCTGATCAACTCACTCTTTTAATATCTTTACGCGTTGCATTTTAGCGTATTCCTTAGGTTTTAGAAATCCGTATGTGTTCTGTTTTTCTTTAATTATATGCTCACTGATACTGTATGGTAAATTATTACTGTACCTCTATTATCAAATGCATGGGTTATTTCGTGACCAATAATGTAACCAAGAGATCCAAAATTCAAATAGCTGAAACAAATACATGTATCAATATTTATCTGTTCTCTCATTTAACGAATATTGTAAATGAAATCATAAAAACATAATTATAAGCATCTCTGATTAGTTTAAGCTTAAAGAAGCACATGAGATATAATATAAACTCACTGTGGTCTATTATTATAAAATATGGGAGCCTGTAAAACTCCTGTAGGAATGCCTGTAAAGGAAGATAGTTGAGAAAGAATGAATATAATCAAATAATACAAATAGTATTATTAATTCAAAAGCATGCAGATATAACGAACTTTCAGTAAAGTATCCAATGATAATTTAAGCGTAAAACTCAATACTTTTAAAACATATAATTGGCTTATCGTTTATAAATAAAACCTAATATGTTTATAAACGTTATGGCTCAACGTAATTACGAACTCTACTTGTGTTTTATTATTCTTTTCTCACATACGATGAAAAATGATAACTCTGTGCTCATGTACGCATCCAATCTCATGCTTTGATTTGAAATTATCGCATCGATCGTAGTATCTCTCCTGATCATATACGTTTTCGGATATTCACAAACTGGTGTCTTAAGGGGTCATACCTCCCTTAAAAGGCTAAAACGTCGAGTAAATTGGACCATTTCAAACTACTGTATCTCATAATATATAAACAGGAAACAAATAATTTTTTTACAGAAGACATTTAAAATACTACTCTATCTGAAAATGTGACTAAGCTTATAAAATACCAAAAAAAATTATTTAATAATGCCGAAAACTATATGGCACTTTATGTAATCTGAAAATGTAATATCAGCTTGCGCGCAAGATTACTCTTAAATTATATGCTTTTTCAAAATATTTTCACCTGTAATATATTTATTATAGTCTTATTATAATTTTGAACCTTTAAAATTTTAAATGTATATAAGTTTTATATTTTTTAAAAACAGTGGTTTTATGTTACTGAAAATAGCATACTTTTTATTACTTTGAGAAACCCAGAAAAATAACAAAATATAAATGGAAATTGCAAATTTTAGGTTCAGGTTGTAGCAAATTACATATTGTATCTGTGATACAACTTTCATTAGAATATATTGAATCTTTCAATTGTTATGATGCGCGCAATAATGAAAAATCATGTTTTGAGAAAAATGACTTTAAAGTTTTTTTCACCACATATTACCTAATAACCATTATTATTGCACCTTAATTTTATATAAAATGAAAAACTTATCACCTGATATTGTTTTCTTTACTTATTTTTTTTTGTATTTGATAGAAATTTCAACTGTTTACACAACATTCACACTAACACGACAATTCATGTCGTGATGTGAAATTACACCGAATAGCAAAAATGCACAAAATATATCAATACAGATTCATCATATAATAATTATACACACACACTATTAGCATTAAAATGCTCCTGAAAGGTATGTTACTCCTTCAGCTTTATGAGTCTTTTTAATTTCATGCAGTTTTGCATGACGCTTGGCGCGACGAGCATCAATCGTACGAGCTATTACTCGTTTCTTCTTCGAAGAAGTTACACGTTTATAGTCACTCCTGAATTGTGCAGTAATGCAATTAATTCCAGGGTGTATATTCAGGTATCTCAGAGTAGATAATCTACCCTTTCTACTACCATCATTAAAAAGAGTAACTGCTTCATGAACTGCTATTTCTGATATGATTCTGCCACTACCAGATGTCTTTGGACATATTTGCCAAATCAAGGAGTTCAGTGACTCATTTGGATTTTGAGCTCCAAGACAGCGTTTTAGGAGGTCTGGATGCGACAGTGAATTAAAAATTGGTTTGATCACATCCATGACTGTCACTGGTAAGGAAGGTTTCTTTATGGCAAAAATCATTCACAACCCCTTTCGCCGAAGCAATTTGGTACTTGCACCATGAGGACTCACCAGTTGGACAAAAATTATGTAATGGGTCACTGTCTGTAGATCGAGTATGAAAATACAAAGCCCAGATAGCATTTCGCATATCTTTCAGTGAATCTGCATGTTGGCGAATTGCATTTCCATAATACAATGACAGTCGGCTGATTGCACTATCTGTAAGTCGACCTTTTCCAGATAGACTTTTGCCATCTGAAAGCTTTCGTCCCTTATAATCAGCTTTCAGTTTACGTAAGCGAGTGCCCATCCTCTTCTGGATGTGCCCTACACACTCTAGTTTTGACACAGTCACACCTTCATATGGTTTGCTTTCTGTTATGGAAAGAAATGTTTTTGAATCACCATCACCAATATAATTGATGTATCTCACACCCCTTGCACTTTGAGACCTCTGAAAAATTTTAACCATTCGGTCAGCTTCCATTTTGGCAGATGAACCGAAATGATTTCTCCTGCAAGTGCGAGAATGGGTTTTCTGCAACTCATCAAAGGCTTCACCAGATCGAGGACCCTTATACAATTCGCATCCTTTACATGCTGCGGTTAAAACCTCTACGTCGATAACGTTTCCACTCTTCAGCACCAATAAACGTACATACACCAATCTGAGATGTATGACCTCTTGTTTTCCAGGTGCCATCAACACTTACACTTATGCCTGTAGAATTACTGAGTGATACTTCTTCTGCTGCTGCATTTTTCATGCTTTCAATTGCAGTCATTTTTGTTGCATTATTGATTAAGTTACAGATTCTGTCATAAGTTTTTTGCATCACAGGAGGATCTAAATCCATTATTCCACAAAATGTTTTCAATGGTTCAAGACCTTGACCAATACAACGCATTGCATAAATAATACGACGATTAATTTCTGCAATGTTCCTTTTCTCCCCAACAAGTTTAGTGTTGCTTGTCATCACAACATTTTTGCATCCTTGACATGTCAAGATCATTCTGGAACATAGACCTGCAGATCTTTTCGCAGTAAATTTTAATTTACCATGGCATACCTTACACACAGTGTTTTCTTCCAAAAAAGAACACAGAATATTTTTATCGACAATCATGTTGCCATCAAATCGATTGCTTTCACTTGAAAAATCAATGTCTGTTTGTTACTTTTTAACTTTTTACAAGAAGCACTTGTATTTAGTTCATCTGAATTTCCAGGGAAACTATGTGCAGCTGTAGTTTCACAAATAACAGCTTGGTTTGGGGAAGAAATAGAAAATCCATTATTTATTTCATTTGAAACTGTCGATTTACCAGTTCTGGTGAACTGGTTTTCATGAAATCGGCGCTTTTTTGAACGCTTTCCAGAAGCACGTTTATAAGCATTATCACATTAGTTTTGCATCACAGGATAATAAATAAAGTAAGTAAGATAATAAATTGCTTTAAAAACTTACAATTATATTTAATTTCACCCACAAAGTGTTCTAAAATCACAACTGAATGATCATAAGTGACGGAAATAACAAGTGGAGTGATATTAAACACTACTAAAATATAATGAAATGAAAGGAAAAAACACAGCAATAAAAGTAAAACGCATGAACGGTTAAGAATGTAAACAAACTACCGAAGAGTTGAGAAATAACATTTCTACTCCATAAATAGATCATTAAAAAATAAATCATTAGGCTTGCCACATAACACTTCGAGTAGAAACTGCTCACGCTTTTCGCTTGGACCTTTAAACCTTGTTTACATTAGTTCAACTGATACATTTTCCTTCATAACTCATGAAATTTTATGAATTTTTGCTTGGGTTTTTTTTAAACTGTGCAGAAAGAATCAGACGATAACATATATATTTTTTTCGAAAAATCAAAAATTTTGATGGTTTAAGGGAAGTATGACCCCTTAACAATCACAAAGTGTTTAAAAAAAACCTATCTTTAGAATTCTCTATAGAGTGTTAAGTTTTGCCCTACCTTTTTCCCAATAGTTTCTCAGTTCGTGATATCAGTGTTCAGCTTCTGACGCTCAATTTTTTAATTTATCCTTTTGGCTTTCTTTATTAAACATCACTTTCTTTTGCACTTACATAAAATTTCAAGACAATCACAAAATCAATAAAAACAGCTTAGCTTTAGAATTCCAACACAGTGTTAAATGTTGTCATATATTTTTTATTCCTTATAATAATCATATTTGCGATATCCTTTCTTTCAAAATAACACCTAGCGATAATATTTGGTGGCAACATCCTTTTATTTGAAACGTGACTTGACACAAGAGTGAAACGGACACTAAATTGAGTACTGAGGACAATATACTATATTTAATTCCTTCATAACAGGAACTCATCTTCACGATGAGTTTATTCTTGTTACATATGGCGTAATTCAAAAAAATAAATATAACATGTTATTCTCAATCGGTACAGATTTTAAATACCGAATCTGAGAAGTTTTGGATTATTTCATATTTCATATAACATATTTTTTCACTGAAATTTGTTCGGAACTTCAAATAATGTATAACTCGCGGTTCAGTTTACGCAGAAATCTAATATATTGCTGCCATCGATATAAAGCCTTAAATACTAAAATTGAAATTTTTGGATTATATTTTAGTACAAGTTTTCATTAAAAACTGTTATTTTCCTTATGTAAAATACCACTTCCAGTTGTCTAATTTTTATATGAGTACAGAACGGTTAAATACGAAAAGATTTCATATAAGCTATGGAAGACGAAAACCTCTTTACGCGTATACACATAAACTGAGAGACATCATTGTAAAATAGTAATAACGGGTTGTAGGGGACCCGAATTCGTAATAACGGTTGTTTTTCACTGAAATTCACTAGAAAAATTTTGGATAGAAAACATTATCTCACTTACCTATGTATATATAGTAGTTTAGCAGGAGCTAAAAAATGCAAAACTACAGTTTCATTAAAACCAAAAGTGGGTTAAATGAAGTATCTTTTATGCGAAGATGCATACATTTCAGAGAAATAAAGAGAGAGAGATATTTTGGAATGAAATGTTTTAAAAATGTACTTTTATTCCTATGCAATATGCGCCATCTACCAATAAATATTTGGACACCCATGCAAATGCCGATATCTGAGGCCGTGGTGTACGTCACGAACAGAAATTCAAAGGCATAAAAGTTTGATTAAATAACTTTCAACCGGATCAGTTTGTCTAATTTTTACGTTTTTATCTCCTGCCATTTTATATAATGTTTTCTGTACGAAAATTCGTTAATGTCCATTGAATAAGCAAGAATTAGGGTTCCCGAAACACGTTTATACTATTTTCATAGTGATG